CAGAAGTAAATGGCATCTACTTGTTGAAGGAATTGTCTATTGAATTATTCATGAAATCTCATCTCTGTGAAGGGATTGGTGTTCTATATAGTGTTTTGCTCTTCCGAACGGCAAACTAGAAGATTGTGTGGGATAATTATTCTCAGTAGTTCTTGTTGAGGGTTATTACGGGTTCTGCCATGTTTGATATATTGGAAGATCTTTTTTTTTCAATTAAAGGTCAGAAAACATTGATGAAAGTGATGTTAGAACTGATACCCAAGATTGTATTTTAATTTTAGACACCGAAGTTACAATCGTTTCAGTAGAATCATATAATATTGATTTTTTAGTCAACATTGACTTCATTTAAAAAAATATTGCACTCGAATGAATGATTTTTCAATCATAACTTCCTATGATACTGCGAAATGTGGCAGAATTGGTGATATTATTTGTCCACTCAATTACTTTCGAACCCATATTTAGGCCCACTTGTATAGGTTCAGTTTAAACCACAAGTCTTAGTTAAACTTTGGTTTAACGAATGAAGTTCTTTGTATAGGTGTTTGTGACTACCATTCGGAGTTTAACTATCAACTGATGGATGGAGGGGCAGTTAAACTACAAGCGTCAGTTAAACACATGTTTGGATTGAATACTGATGTGTCAACTATTTGTGGTTACTTTATGTATAATAACCCATAAATATTTGACGCGTCCAGATATTTTCATGTTTTCATAATGTACATATTTGAAATATTTGAAGATATATTATTTGAAGAGGGAGATGAGATAGATGTTATAAATATTGTGGAAAAGTAGCCTCGCAAACCCGTCACAGCAATGCCCATGATCTCCTTTATATCATCATCCTGTATTGTAATGTGTGGAAAATTCCCTTTTCCACCCCTCTGCTGCAAATTTTTTCTTCGTGTTCTTTTTTACATCTTCACACTTTGCCTTGAGGACTTTGGAGGTACGGGGTTCTTTCGTGTTCTTGCTTGTGTTAAATTCCAGGCCAACATTCCTTCTTTTTCCTCCATGTCACGGCGTCACTTTTCTTGGACTCCAGAATGTCCTTATGGATTTTCACCAGCCGTAATAGCTCCTCCACTTCCTGCTTGGAAAAATTGGATGACCTCCTGTTAGTGTAGCTCACGCAATCCATTTTATTACAGAGTCAGATTATGAACCTATGAAACAAATTGCTTATGGCATTTACGACATTTACGTCAATGTACGACGGCAGGTCAATTTCAATTCAGTTGTCACTTGTCACTTGTCAATGTTGTCGTGTCTACGAGTCTTTAACTGGAAGATATACAAATGATATTTTAGCATTTTATCGGTTTAAACCTAAGTTCAAATATAAGCTCAAACCCAAGTTTAAACTGAACAATAAACGAGACCTATACAACTGGCCCTTACTGGTCCATCGTAGGTTAACTGTAGGGTACTTTTTGGTGAATAAAATGAGGTTGTACTCGTATATCTAGTTGAGTATGGATAGTAGACCTCCAGAAACTATAGACAGGCTAGTGAAAGAACGAGCGGTTACAGATGTCAAACAAAGGTTTCTATTCTCGATTTGTTGATCATTGAACGTGATATGTTTTGAACCACAAAAAATATTTGCTAGATGGAGAGGTGCTATATAGTCCTCTGTCATATCTGAGATGGAATTGAGTTTCAGCAAGGAAAAAGATAGACATCGAAAATGAATCAATATAACATTATTATATATTCGATCCATAAGAAATGGAATGAGACATTGTATTTGTGGGCTCTACTATAGCGTTTCAAATCTGTCGACTTGGATTTCACCACGTCTAGAACGAAACTTAAAAAAATGATGGAATTGGTTGATACTTGATAAAAATTTGATGTATTCCAGTAACACTTCATTGTGAGATTTTAACTGAAAAGTCTTCAAAACCACAACACGTGTTTTGCTATACAATAGCTGCAGGAGTGTTCATACTGATTGAATTCTACCACTTAAGATATTTTGCTTGGTGTACAAGGGTCAGTATTAGGACAGCTGCTGTTTTCTATCTATATAAATGATTTTTCCAAATATATCAAACTTTGTTACATCATTATGTTCGCCGATGACACTACCATATCAGTGTCTGGTAACACAATAGAAGAGTTGAAATTCAATATCAACTCAGTCATGGATATTATGATTTTTCGGTGTGACAGAAACCAACTGAAACTGAATGCAAATAAAATAATTCACTTAGGTTTCGCCTTAAGGAAGAAATTAGATTTGAATAACGTTCAACTATCTAATACGGCGAAACTCCTAGGTATGTACTAAGATGAAACTTTGTCTTGGGAGCCCCACATTGATCATGTGTGCAAAAAATTGAATCAGGCCACATTTGCAGTACGCCAGAGCAAAGAGGTGCTAGACTTATATGGTATCAAGATGGTCCATCATTCTTGGGCCTATTCTCACATGGATCAAAATATAAAATGTGTGTTTATTCTACAGAAAAGAATAATCTGTATCATATTTGACATTGCACCGAGAGATAGCTGTAGGGCTTAATTTTCAGAACATGAAATATTAACTTTACCCTGCATCTATATTTATGAAGCTCTCCTTCGTGTGAGATACATAGTTAGTCTTAATTACGAGTCACTCACTCATAATTATGCAACACGAACTTTCAACACTTAACCATCCCAAAACACAAAACGTCGATTTTCAAGGAATCTGTTAAGTATAACGGCACTATACTTTTTAATTCATTGCCACAGTATGTTTCAAAAGCCATATCAATGAATTATTGACGAACGGGAAATATTATAGCTTGGATGAGTCCCTGCAGAAAGATGTCTTAATATAACTTGTTCTCACTGCATTTTTCTTTCCTGATTTTCTGTTAAACTATTTACTGTTTATTTACTATTTACTATTTATTGTTGTTTTCAATAATGTATCTACTATCTTAGAATGTGCATCTGTTTTTATATATCCAAAAAACCGTAGGTTTGATGACCTACATGTTTTTATAAAGGACAAAATATAAGCACTACAGGAAAATCCTTGAGTTGTCCTAAGGGCGGTGCCTGATCGGAAGTAGCGATTTACATTGTATTTGAGTCGCTGAAGATTAAATTCATTTGGAAAAACGCTTTCAGGAAGTTTATTTCGCATAAACGCTGCTCTCCAAATAAAAAAAAATTCGAACAATGAAGTTCGAGGTGTAGTAAGATGATGATCAAAACGACGAACAAACAGTATGGTATATTGCCCTTGGTGGAATTAAATGTGCCATATCACTTGAACACTTTACGTGAAAGTATCTATATAAATCTCCAACCTTTTTTTGATGTTCCAGACTATCAAGGTATCAAGGTTGCAAGTGATATTCCCCCTTTTCTGGATGAAATCCAGCAGTTTCAGGTTATGCTTTGGGGCGGAGCTCCATACATGAGAACAGTACTTCAAAGAAGGTCTGATCTGAGCTTTATAAAGCATCAAAAGTTGTTGAGGTGTGTACAGTTTTTTGGTTCGGATTAGTGTTCGATGCTTTTGAGAAGCAGCCTTTGCTATTTCAGCGACATGACTGTGCCAAGACATGTTGTGTCCATTTTAACAGAAATTCCTGTGCTGACATTACTATATTCGGTTCGGAGACATTTATCTTTTTGGAGAAAACCAATTTTCCAGCACTCTCTCATGATATTAGGCTAAATAAAAAGTCTGTCATATTTTTTTCAATTTTTAAAATGTTTCGTTCGACATTTATACTTTTCTTCAAACTGTTTATAAGCTGCAATGTAGCTCTAGCTTTGTGTTTGTCTTTTTACCCTTTCCATTTCACAAAGATGGATATGCATTTCCTTGATTCCAGGAGAAACCACTTTTGTGTTATTTTTCAATTTAATGTCAGTGACGTGAAATGAAATGTCATAGTAACAAATGAATATTTTATAGAACCTGGAAAACTTATCTTGAAAATAGTTAGCTAAGTATATTTCATGCCAGTCTTCACTGGATAAATGTTGTTGAAATGTGTTGATATCTGAATCATTGAATATAGACATGTAATAATATAATTACACATTTCCACTTCACTTTAAAAAACAGATTCAAGAAAGGGGAAAGATTCAATTCTCTTCGGTCATTCAGTGAATTTTCGCATCTATAAACTTCCAATCATTCTAAAAGATCTAGTTCCAAAACTTCTTCTTTCAAATGTAATACGTCATAGTCCTGGTTGAACTTAGGCCTCTCTGCCGTCTCTAGAATGGGTCTTCACATTAAAGAAACTACTCCCATGTTCTTTAACACTTTAGGAAAATGTTCACTCCGTTTGGCCAACATTGAGGATGCCTAAAATATTATTTGTTCTATGAGCTACGTCCAGGTCCTCCTTTTGTGATGTGTAGAGGAATTATATATGATAATTTCAGTATAAAATGGTGATGCAGCTAATTAACTAAGAACTATCTATGCATTTCATTAAAAGATGTTACAATTATTTTTAGTTAGTTGCAAAACCCATTTGTAACCAGTATTGATTTTTTTTTCAAAAAGTCGTATTGAAAATGATGAAGTTGTTATTATTTATGAACAACAGTCATTGTAAATCGTCCCTATATGTTTGGTCAGCGTCAGTGCTAGGGTCACTCTTAGATATTCAACCTTTCTCTATCTTTTCTCCACCTCAAAAAGTTCTCTTGGTACTATAGTCAATTTGTATTGGTCTACTTTGAGCTCTTTATCTCTGGTCCATATCATTAGGGAGTTAAACTGGAACGTATAGCGTAGAATAAATCCAAGACATGTACTTTTTCCAATCACAAGAATTTTAATACTCCTTTTGACGAGCGTTTCATCAACCGAATTGGCGTCTTCAGAAGATACGAAGAAATGTTTTCGCTCATCTCCTGAAAACGCGTGTTGAGAAAAGTATTGAAGTTCTGGTGCTTGTTTTGACTGTATTATTTGAAACGAAAATATAATATATCAAACCCTCTATCGCCATTGTTGATTTCAGATGGTAGCAATGCTACTGGAGGTCTCGTCTTCGGAATTCCTTTGACGCAGTGCGTGGAGAACGACAGGCTGAGCAGGATTGCCGCAGGATCGAGTCCTTTCAGGAGCAGGGCGGAATTGTCGGGGACCACAGATGAACCAGCAAACATGGGAAGGCATGGATCTCGATCTAGTTTCAGTTCTTTGATCGATTCACCGAGGGGAGATGAGGTGAGAAAGTCTAAATACAAATTTCCGGGAAAGAAAGTGTGATCATTCATCAAGTTAATGAAAATTTGAAGCCACTTCAAAATCTTTGAGTGTGAATGAAAGAAAGTATCAAAGGATTTTGATATATCTTATTTTCGATAAATATCATATTTCATATACGATATATAATACTTCCTTTAATTGAAAAACAGTACAATGCTTAACCAACCTATTCAACAAATTACAGAGCTCTTGATGACCTACAGTATTATTCAACACCAATTCTGATTCGTTAATGACTTTGAACTTCACAAGATTGGTGGATCTTCATTCTTAGATTTTCATGGGGTCCATTCATAACGTCATCTTGATTGCTTCGTTCTCACTTTACATTAGGAAGAGTTCATCATCCTCGTAGCTGGAAATTGAGCCAAAAATTGACCAGTTCCAATAGATATAAACACGTAAATATTTCCGTTAATTTCCATTGGAACCAATATGAATATTACTGAAAATAAAAACAATTTTTGTAAACACTAGATTTGCATTGGATTAGAGAAGAGTTTTTCAACTGGAGATATTTTGTTGGTTGTTCCATTGGCTTGACATCAATCTATTTGGTTTATGTCTTTTTGTAGCAAATTCAAATCATTCTCAGGTAAATTTGGAGATCATCAGCAAAAAGTTAACATTTAGATCCTAATACTTATTACACAATATTACTCACCAACAGGTTGAAAAGCAACGGCCCACAGTGACTGCCCTGAGGAACTCCTGAATATACAGTCACATCATTTGAGTGTTGATTTTCACCCACTGAGTCAACCACTGAAAGGGAGTATACTTGGTTATTGGCCTATTTGAAATTTTTTGTCAAGTATGTGATAAACCATGTTCGGGTTGAAGTTGTTGTTTACTGCAAATTTTTTTTATCGAATTCATTTCCTGTTGATGAGAGTGATTGAAATGATTTCTAATAGTTGTTTCTGTATGGGTTGATTTGTTGTGAATTGCAAAATCATGTTTGTTGTTGATTTTTGTAATTGTGAGGTCTGAAAAGTTTATCGAATTATAAGTTCATAATTTGAAAAATTATGAACGCTTCCATCAACACAGTTAGAATTTACTTCCCTGCATTTGAACGAAAACTAGAAATTAGAATACATTAGAAATTAGAACACATAATTATATCAACACCCTGGCATATCCTTGCTTGTCATCGTTCAATAATGAAATTGAAATAGGCTATTACTTGTGCTCTGAAATTTCGCGTGGTTGCAATAACTTTTGGCCAAGAGTTCCAACATAAAATAATTTGAACACGGTCAAGGTGACTAAAAGTACAGTGGGCGATTAGTTCATCAGTAAAGTAAATGAAGCGGAGAGGTGTTTTTTGCTTAGAAAATGCTGTCAAGGTGCTTACCTATCCGAAAACGCTATCAATTTTATAAATAGAAGCCATTTTAAACAGTACTAACTTCAACAATTCTAGAGGCAGTCTCTTTTATGTACACCAATAAAGGAAGCTGAAGCGTAATGGATCATAAGAAAATGATCAATCGACGGAAGATGCAATGACATATGGAAGAATACAAATCTACAAAAATTCAGATGAAACTAGACCTTCCCTATGCATTTTAGTCGACCTAGCCAAAGTATTCGATTCTGTCTATCATGAGAAACTATCGAAATGTCTAGAAAAAATTGGATTTCGTGAAATTGCATAGATGCCTGCTACCTGAAAACAGATAATATGGAGTCATAGCTGGAGATTCAATGAAATCAATCAAAACAATGGAATACGCGGTGGCACAAGAGACAATCTCTAGTCCACTGATTTTCGATATACAGGCTGATTCAAGGTGGATGGCGTATCAGATATTTCTGGTGAACCAAACACCCAAGTAAAATATTTTCTACGATTAGGTGTTGCCACTTGCATTAGAAAGTAGTAAAAACTTTGATTTTTCAAACGAAACACCCTGTGTATAATATCAGTTTTGAAATCTACAACAATTATCCGACAACTTTCCTTGATATTTCTTTATATCTTTCTGTGTTCTTTCTTTCTGGGTTGAGTCGGTAGCCAAGTGGTTCGGCGTGGGTGCTTTGTTCACTCACTCGAATTGACTGCCGTGTTGGTCGATGGTTCAAGCCCTAGTCTGAACGATCGATCTTCACTTGCTATCGTCCAACCCGTGTTAGGAATTGAACGTTAAAAGGTAAGACCTCGTTAATCCTTAGCTCGCACAAGTTTCGACTTCTGAGGGTTGTCGTTCATAGAGGTGCGACAGCTGGTTAACAAAAAAAAACAGATTTTAAACAGATGTTACCGTTTTCGAAATATGAATCAATTTCAATTTTTTCTCTTCGGAAATCATGCTGATATCTTTGAGTTGAGGAATACTATGGTATCGAAATTTGGTTTGGAGTTGGGCGATACTTGGGGGCTTCCTACACTTAGCGTAATCTCCGTTACTTCGATACAGAGTGCTTGAAAAAGTGACTGAAATTTGATTATTTCGAATGAAATACCTTGTGTATTATCATAAAATCAGAAAGCCTTTGAAATTTGCTTTTTTTCTATGTATATGATGCGTATACCTAACTAGTCAAGTTTCTGACTTATAAACATTCATTTGTCCCTTCAGAATGATATTCCCATTCGGTATTTTGTAAGCAGGCCATGATTACTAGTATGTGATACACCAGTATCCGATACTAGTATCTGATATCTGTATCTGTAGTATCTGATACACCAAACTCTCTAGCTACTTGTCTGATAGATTGTCGATTATCCATTTGTACATGTCCTAAAACTGCAACTTCAACTCCTTCATTTCTGACAGGATGGGATACTTCATGTTTTCTGTTGTGAACAGAACCTGAAGTTCGAAACCTATCTATCAACTGTTTAACGTTTTGATGGATCACGTTGTGGTCTGGATGATTCGAATTATAAATTCTTGCAGCAGCTTTAGATCACTCATTATTTCGATTATAGGTTGTAACAATTTCTATTCTTTCTTCAGTAGAATAAACCACTGTGAACAAGGATAACTGAATAATAATTCGTAAAGAAGTGACATTGGCTAACGATCTACTTTTTGTTCTGCGACAACTAGATTCAACATAAACTAACAGTGCAGAAAAAACTAACAGTGTGGTCCATTTTGAAACGTTTTCTAGAAGACCTACGACAGAGAATTGTTCGGAAATGTCGAATTCTGACTCCGGACATCTTCAATAATGTAAGGAACGTTTTCGAAAGTAGACTGTATTTTTGTATGGAACTAGATGGAGGTCATTTTGAACACTTTAACCGTTGATTGTGTTGCCACTGATATTACTTTTGTTGATTTCCTCAATAAAATGAGCGACAGCGAATGAACCAATTTCGAAAAAAATTACAGATGTAATAGAGGAACAAAAGACCTTTCAAATGATGTATCGCCCGACCCCCCATGCCATTGAAAACAATAGGGTGGGGAGTAGTTGCTGACCGCAGAGGGGTGAAGTTTCGGGTATGATTTTCATATCAGAATCAGTCCCCCTAGAAATAAAAATGGACGTGTTCTTTGAAATTTTCGAATACACGTCCGTTTCTGATTTACAGGGGGGGTCAAGTTTTCGTTGGAACGCCCTGTATACAAACGAACACAGATATCAAATTTCGTTCATTCGTTTGAGAGTTCTGATAATATTTCATGATTTTAGTTACTCAGAGTAGTTGAAAAGTTGTGAAGTTGCACACATTTTTGTTCGATTTTTTCTCCTTTCTTGTCCTTGTTTTCAGTAATGATGTTCTTCAAAATCGATAGAAAAAACCTATTCATGATTATACAATTTTCATACAGAAGATTTCATTTGAGACGCGTTTCGATATACACTGGCTTCATCAGTTGGACTGGTGAATCAAACTATACTACAATATAACAGCGGACAATTACAAAACTAACTTTTTCGTTTGATGACTTATATATTTTGTAGAAATTCATATTGAATATATAGTGGTGAAAATAACTTTCGTCTAATTTCTACTAAGTTTATCATTTGTTATTTGTGATATATTATAGAAGATATTCAATTACACAACTCAATTGTATGAATGATTATTTCCGATAAAACAGGTTGATTTGGAAATGAATATGTTTCTGCTGTCATCTGTAATAAATACAATTGTGAATTATTCATGCACCGGCCTCAGAAATGCAAGCAGCTCTAGCTTTCCATATCAAAGCGACTACAACCTCGAACATTTTTCTTTCCTTCAGTAATCGACAAAATGTTCTATTAGTCACTGGTGACATCGTGGCCTTTGAAGTTTCCTGAATTTTCTCCATTCCAGTCGCAGCATGTTCTACGAACGAACTCGATTCAATTATTATGTCGGTACGTTCTCGACGAAATTAGAGACGTGGAGTCATAACTGGATGGCTTAATTTAGGAGTATGTCTATTCGAAATATTCACCTGTTTGCCACTCACGATTCAGTCGAATAAGGAATTCGATTAATGTATTGCGATTCCGCGAGATTGGATGATTGAATGTTGGAAATAGTTCTGGTTGAATTACTCGTATGGCCAGATCCAGCTCTATGAAAATGTAGTGAATAGATAATTTTTTGAGTTTCAAACAAATGTTGTGGAAATATTGGGGAGATGCTCCACTACAGGTTGATTGGAACTACAGCTGATAGGTAGAACTGAACCCTCTGGCATGAAATGAAATTGATAAAGACACTTTTCTATATCAGTTCAAAAGTTCTTTCTCTCTATTCAAGTTTCACTCAGAAAGTCAACACCATCAGCAAATAACTGAAAGTTAATCTTACAACTCAGTTAGAGCATTTTCCATACATCCGGTCAAACTATTACATTAGGTAGTACGGAATATCGATTGGGTGTTATCAAATCAGTTAGTTTATTGTATCATACTCTATATCTCATTAAATAATCATATCTTTATTCCCCTGGTTTCTTTTTGTAATTATAACGATAGTAGGCAATGAGTCGTTTGGA